AGACTACGTTTCGGTCGGTCCTGGACCAGTATTAAGCCGTGACATCTGAAGATGAGTAATTTAAAGGGTTGTCAACGTGATAATATATTTCTGTGTACTACTGTAACACCCTGAGATTACAAGGAGAGGTGGGCCAGCAATAGGTGTGGTTGTATGGGTATGGTTGTATGGGTGTGGTTGTAGGAGTGTGGTTGTATGGGTGTAGTTGTATGTGTTTGGTTGTATGGGTGTTTGTATGGATGTGTTTGTAAAGTGTGGTTGTATGGGTGTAGTTGTATGGGCGTATTTGTATAAGTGAATGTATGGGTGTACTAATGTGGTTGCACTAATGTGGTTGTACTAGTGTGGTTGTACTAGTGTAGTGTAAGTAGTGTGGTGGTACCAATGTTGTACTATTGTAGTTGTAGTAGTGTTGTACTCTTGTGGTTGTACTAGCGTTGTACTGTTGTGGTTGTACTAGTGTAGTGTAAGTGGTGTGGCTGTACCACTGTTGTACTATTGTGGTTGTAGTAGTGTTGTACTGTTGTGGTTGTACTATTGTGGTTTTAGTAGTGTTGTACTGTTGTGATTGTACTAGTGTTGCACTATTGTAGTTGTACCAATGTTGTACTGATGTGGTTGTACTAGTGTTGTACTGTTGTGGTTGTACTAGTGTTGTACTGTTGTGGTTGTACCAGTGTTGTACTGTTATGGCTATACTAGTATTGTGCTGTTGTGGTTGTACTAGTGATATACTGCTGTGGTTGTACTAGTGTTGCACTGTTGTGGTTGACTAGTATTGTACTGTTGTGGTTGTACCAATGTTGTACTGCTATGCCTGTACTAGTGTTATACTGTTATGGTTGTACTAGTGTTGTACTATTGTGGTTGTACCAGTGTTGTACTGTTATGGTTGTACTAGTGTTGTACTGTTGTGGTTGACTAGTGCTGTACTGTTGTGGTTGACTAGTGTTGTACTGTTGTCGTTGACTAGTGATGTGCTGTTGTGGTTGTACTTGTGTTGTACTGTTGTGGTTGACTAGTGCTGCACTGTTGTGGTTGACTAGTGTTGTACTGTTGTGGTTGACTAGTGTTGTACTGTTGTGGTTGTACTAGTGTTATACTGTTATGGTTGTACTAGTGTGGTACTGTTGTGGTTGACTAGTGTTGTACTGTTGTGGTTGACTAGTGTTGTACTGTTGTGGTTGACTAGTGTTGTACTGTTGTATTTGTACTAGTGTTAAAGTTATGGTTGTACTAGTGTTGTACTATTGTGGTTGTACTAGTGTTGTACTGTTGTGGTTGACTAGTGTTGTACTGTTGTGGTTGAACTAGTATTATAGTTATGGTTGTACTAGTGTTGTACTGTTGTGGTTGCACTAGCGTTATACTGTTGTGGTTGTACTAGTGTTGTACTGTTGTGGTTGACTAGTGTTGTACTGTTGTGGTTGAACTAGTGTTATAGTTATGGTTGTACTAGTGTTGTACTATTGTGGTTGTACTAGTATTGTACTGTTGTGGTTGTACTAGTGTTGTACTATCGTGGTTGTACTAGTGTTGTACTATTGTGGTTGTACTAGTGTTGTACTATTGTGGTTGTACTAGTGTTGTACTATTGTGGTTGTACTAGTGTGGTTGTACTAGTGTTGTACTATTGTGGTTGTACTAGTGTTGTACTGTTGTGGTTGTACTAGTGTTGTACAATTGTGGTTGTACTGTGGTTGTACTAGTGTGGTTGAACAGGAGTGGCTGTACAGGAGTGGGAGTGGTTGCTCAAGTGCGGTTGCACAAGTGTGGTTGTACGAGTGTGGTTGTACGAGTTTGGTTGTACAGGAATAGTTGTACTGGTGTGGCTGTACAAATGTAATGATACAGGTGTTGTTGTACGGATGTGGTAGTACGGATGTGGGTGTACAGGTGTGGTTGTATGGATGTGGTTGTAGGAGTGTGGTTGTGCAGGTGTGGTTGTACAGATGTGGTTGTACAGGTGTGTTTGTAGGAGTGTGGTTGTACAGGTGTGTTTGTAGGAGTGTGGTTGTACAGGTGTTTGTAGGAGTGTGGTTGTACAGGTACTCACCTAATTGTAGTTGCAGGGATCGAGACTCAGCTCCTGGCCCCGCCTCTTCACTGAACGCTACTAGGTCCTCTCTCTCCCTGCTCCATGAGCTTTATCATACCTCGTCTTAAAGCTATGTATGGTTCCTGCCTCCACTACATCGCTCGCCAGACTGTTCCACTTCCTGACCATTCTATGACTTAAGAACTGCTTCCTAACATCCCTGTGACTCATATGAGTCTTCAACTTCCAAGACTGACCCCTTGTTTCTGTGTCCCCTCTCTGGAACATCGTGTCCCTGTCCCCCTTGTCTATTCCACGCAGTATTTTGTATGTCGTTATCATGTCTCTCTTATCCCTCCTGTCCTCCAGTGTCGTCAGGCCGATTTCCCTCAACCTTTCTTCACAGGACATTCCCCTTAGCTCTGGAACTAATCTTGTCGCAAACCTTTGCACTTTCTCTAATTTATTAACGTGCTTGACCCGGTACGGGTTCCAAACTGGTGCTGCATACTCCAGTATGGGCCAGACGTACACGGTGTACAGTGTCTTGAAAGATTCCTTACTTAGGTATCGGAGTGCTAATCTCAGGTTTGTCAGGCGCCCATATGCTGCAGCAGTTATCTGGTTGATGTGTGCTTCCGGAGACGTGTTCGGTGTTATGGTCACCCCAAGATCTTTCTCCTTGAGCGAGGTTTGCAGTCGTTGGCCACCTAGCCTATACTCTGTTTGCGGTCTTCTTTGCCCTTTCCGATCTTCATGACTTTGCATTTGGCAGGGTTGAATTCGAGAAGCCAGTTGCTGGACCACGTGTCCAGCCTGTCCAGGTCTCTTTGAAGGTGTGGCTGTATGGGTGGTTGTACAGGTGTGGTTGTACAGATCTGGGTGTTGTTTTACTGGTGTGACTATACAGGTGTGGTTGAACATGTGTGGTTGTACAGATGTAGTTGTACGGATGTGATTGTACAGGTGTGGTTGTACAGGTGAGGTTGTACAGATGTGGTTGTACAGGTGTTATTGTACCGATGTGGTTGTACCGGAGTGGTTGTACAGGTGCGATTGTACAGGTGTGGATGTATAGATGTGGTTGTACAGGTGTTGTTGTACCGGTGTGGTTGTACAGGTGTGGCTGTATTGGTGTGGGTGTGCAGATGTGGTTGTACAGGTGTGGTTGTCCAGGTGTGGTTGTACGGATGTGACTGTACTGGTGTGGTTGTACAGGTGTGGCTGTACGGGTGTGATTGTAGTGTGGTTGTACAGGTGTGGCTGTATAGGTGTGGTTGTACCGGCGTGGTTGTACAGGTGTGGTTGTACAGGTGTGGGTGTACAAGCGTGGTAGTACGGATGTGATTGTACCGGTGTGGTTGTGCAGGTGTGGTTATACATGTGTAGTTCTACAGGTGTGGTTGTACCGGTGTGGTTGTACAGGTGTGGTTGTAAAGGTGTGGTTGTATGGATATGGTTGTACAGGTGTGGTTGTACAGGTGTGGTTGTACGGGTGTGGCTGTACAGGTGTGGTCGTACAGGTTTAATTGTACGGATGTGGCTCTACTGGTGTAGTTGTACTAGTATAGTTGCACAAGTGTTTTTCTCCTGGTGTGGATGTACAGGTGTAACTGTACGGTTATGGTTGTACAGCTATGTTTGTACAGGTATGGTTCTACTGTTGTGGTTGTGCAGATATGGCTGCACGGGTGTGATTCTAGTGGTGTGGTTGTACGGGTTTTGTTGTACGGGTGTGGTTGCACAGGTTTGGTCGTACTAATGTGGTTGTAAGATTCTGATTTATATACATTTTTCCATTACCAAATCGCTATGTGCAATATTTACAAATGTACAATATGTTTTTTACACAGAGTTTAGAGCTGATACAGCGTAGAGCTGATACCCTACATCAACTCCTTTCAAAGCCCAGTCTTACTAACACTCCGTGGGATGCCACCCACAGCAGCCTGCTAACACCCAGGTACCTACTAAATCCTAGGTGAAGAGGAGTAAAGTGCGTAAGGAAACGTGGAGGGGACTGAATCATGGTCCCTTAGTGAGCTGATTACTCTACCAATTGAGCCACGGACACAGCGGGGTATGGGAAAGAAGTCTTTGGTCTGACAGCCTGAGTATGTCTGGTTGTCTGAAACGCTTACCACAGCCGAAGTAATCGAACCAGCCACCTGACTTCCCCCCCCCCCCCCCCACCGGCAAATCAGAATTCTACAGCACATCTTACGGTCACTAGACAATCAAGGGTTGTACACCACCACTAGGTGGCTCTGGCTTCTTTCCTTACAGCTGCCAAAATGGCTACAGGATTTATGATTCGTGTGCATAACGAATACATAACGTACTCAGAGTGCATAACACACGTACATCCTTCAGTACGTAAAAAAAAAGGGTTCACATACACCTTTCAGTACGTTGGAAGAGGGTGCATGTACACCCTTCAATATGTGAGAAGTATGCACGTACATCCTCCAGTGAGAAGAGGATGCACGTACCCTCAGTACCTGGGGAGAGGGCTGCACGTACACCTCTCAGTTCGTGGGAAGAGGGGTGCACACACACACCTCTCAGTACATTGGGAGGGGTGCATGTACACTTCTCAGTACGTGGACGAATGCACGTAAACCCCTCTGTACGTGGGAAGTGATGCACATACACTCCCCTCAGTACGATGGGAGAGGGGTACCTACACACCATCAGTACGTAGGAAGTAGTGCACGTACACACCCTCAGTACGTGGGGAGAGGGATGCACGTACAGTAGGTGAGGAGAGGGGTTCACGTACACAGTACGTGGTAGTGTAGCACTTGCAAGCACTGACCAAGTATTGAACCCAGACTCTGAGGAAGCAACATCATCAAGCCACGGTGCCTCCCTCATTAACATCCTCCTCTCCACCTATAAACATTCATAAACATCCACCCCAACACCACAAACCTACATAAACATGGCAACATAAACACACCTTTATCGTAGTAGTGATGAGGTGAACCTTCAACCTTCCAGCATTCTCCTTTCTGTGATCACGATTCTTTTGGCATTGTTTCACCAGCTACCATTAAACACATACGTCCCTCGCACACAACATGTAAAAATGAAAAACGGTAGGGGGGTAAAATAACGGGTATATACGGGTAGGTTACAGAGGGTACATTACAAGGAGCGACGCATCCTCCCACTCTCACTGTCCAAGACCAACTGATTCGTCCCCCGTGATGGTGACCAACACAAGCGCGCCACCCACCTGCCCTCCCGGGTGTGGCCCAGATGGTGTGGCCCAGATGGTGTGGCCCAGATGGTGTGGCCCAGTTGGTGTGGCCCAGATGGTGTGATCTAACTGGTGGGGTCGAGCTGCTGTGGCAAGTTGGTGTAGCCAAGATCGTGTGGTCCTGCTGATGCAGCCCAGATCGTGTGGCCCAGATAGTGTGGTCCAGGTGTGGTCAGCTGGTATGACGCAGCTTGTGTAACCCAGACAGTGAGGTCCGGCTGGTGTGGCTGAGATAGTGCAACTTACTAGTGTGATCCAGATGATGTGGCTCACTATTGTGGTCCAGATGATGTGGCTATTATAGTCCAGATGATGTGGCTCACTATTGTAGTCCAGCTGGTGTAGCTCACTATTGTGGTCCAGATGGTGTGGCTTACTAGTGTGGTCCAGATGATGTGGCTTACTATTGTGGTCCAGATGGTGTGGCTTACTATTGTGGTCCAGATGGTGTGGCTTACTATTGTGGTCCAGATGGTGTGGCTTATTATTGTGGTCCAGATAGTGTGGCTTACTATTGTGGTCCAGATGGTATGGCTTACTATTGTGGTCCAGATGGTGTGGCTTATTATTGTGGTCCAGATGGTGTGGCTTACTATTGTGGTCCAGATGGTGTGGCTTATTATTGTGGTCCAGATAGTGTGGCTTACTATTGTGGTCCAGATGGTATGGCTTACTATTGTGGTCCAGATGGTGTGGCTTATTATTGTGGTCCAGATGGTGTGGCTTACTATTGTGGTCCAGATGGTACGGCTTATGATAGTGGTCTAGATGGTGTGGCTTATTATTGCAGTCCAGATGGTGTGGCTTATTATTGCAGTCCAGATGAAGTGGCTTATTATTGTGGCCCAGATGGTGTGGCTCACTATTGTGTCCCAACTAGTGTGGATCACTATTGTGGCCCAGCTAGTGTGGCTCACTATTGTGGCCCAGCTAGTGTGGCTCACTATTGTGGCCCACCTAGTGTGGCACACTATTGTGGCTGTGGAAAATACTGCATATATTTTCCAGAAATTCAGTATTTATATGTATATAGATGGCCATACTGTATTTAATAACACTTATGTCATAGAAAATGGGAAACTGAGCCTGGGGAGAAGGGTCAGTCGCCATTGTTAATTTGAATTGGATACAACGTTAGTGTAATGGGAAGGAATTTTCGTGCTCTAGAGATTAAAATTGGGCTGACACTCTCAAATAGGAGGCGAAATTGTTGGATGTGCATTCCTGCATAACTTGAGATATCAGACGACTGGACAAGACAGCTCCAGGAACCTCAGATAAGTCTTATGTAGTAACCTGGCCAGTGTTATTTTCATAGATAGACAGAGAGGTTTTCTGAGTATGATACACATTAATCTCCAGTCAAATTGGTGAGTGATATTAAGATATTTTCCTTCTTTTATATGTGTGTATATATAATCCTTTTTTTAATTTTAGTATACAGTCCACAAATTTATATATTTACCAGTATTCCTGGAGATGTATAATTTATTTAATTAATAGGTCCAGAGCAACGTGTGGATATAACAGTGGTAGGTATCGAAGGGGGACATTTTTTGCGACCTAAGTGTCCCAAATTCCTACTTGTCTAACTGATAAATAATAATTATCTTTGTTCATTTACTGTTATGTATATAATGATACATTCAGCTAAATGCAATTTTCCACAGTGGCCCAGCTAGTGTGGATCACTACGGTGGCCCAGCTAGTGTGGATCACTATTGTGGCCCAGCTAGTGTGGATCACTATTGTGGCCCAGCTAGTGTGGATCACTATTGTGGCCCATCTAGTGTGGATCACTATTGTGGCCCAGCTAGTGTGGATCACTATTGTGGTCCAGTAAGTGTGGATCACTATTGTGGCCCATCTAGTGTGGATCACTATTGTGGCCCAGCTAGTGTGGATCACTATTGTGGTCCAGTAGTGTGGATCACTATTGTGGCCCACTAGTGTGGATCACTATTGTGGTCTCCAGTAGTGTGGATCACTATTGTGGCCCAGCTAGTGTGATCACTATATGTGGTCCTAGCTAGTGTGGATCACTATTGTGGTCCAGCTAGTGTGGATCACATTGTGGCCCACTAGTGTGGATCACTATTGTGGCCCAGCAGTGTGGATCACTATTGTTGACCAGTAAGTGGACACTATGTGGCCTCAGTGTGGATCAGTATGTGGCTTCAGCTAGTGGGATCACTATTGTGGCCCAGCTAGTGTGGATCACTATTGTGGTCCAGCTAGTGTGGATCACTATTGTGGCCCAGATAGTGTGGATCACTATTGTGGCCCAGCTAGTGTGACACACTATTGTGGCCTAGCTAGTGTGACACACTATTGTGGCCCAGCTAGTTTGGATCACTGACAGGTGAACAGGGTCAGCAGGTGTCTGAAACACCCTCAAATGTTTCCAACCGAGAATCGAACCACGGAGCTCAGTGTGTGAGATGAGTGTTCTAGCACCCGAGCGACGGGACACCCCAAGTCGTTCACAATCGCTCGTAAGCAGGAATAACGACTGTTTGGACCCCCTTCAAAATTTTATAAAAAATAAAAACTATCCAAGATACGACAAAAGTCACAAGAGTCAAAAAAAAAAAATCTTAAAATGGATCACTCTATGACAACTAGCAGCCTATTCAAACACCTTCAATATTTCGATGACCGAACACTAAAGGGCTGATAAATTTAAATGAACTCCGTAACACACAGGTTACCTTCCTAAATATCGGTGCATAACATAATATAACGTTGGGTGAAGTAAAGAACTGATAGGGAAGACAGGACTATTATTGTACTTAGTAAAAATTACTACAGTTAAACTTGTTAGGTGAAAGAACACATGTGACACTTTTCTGTGGCAACCTTTCGTTCTCTGGGAGCTTTACAGAGCTCCTGGAGAGCGATACGTTGCCTCGAGAAAATATCACTTTAGTTGCACAAGTATCTTTTACTTAACATATCGTCGATAGTTCTACCTTTGCAGTAAAACTTATCTGCGAGTATTACACAAATAACATGCACATAGAAGAGACTTCTGTGATTTTGTAAATGGTCCAAGTCGGACCGAAACGTCGTCGAAAGCTCCTCTCTTCTATATGCGGGGTATTTGTGTATTGTTCCAGTCACTGTATTGTGCCTTTTTTGTTGTTATCGGTGAGTATGTTTTGGTAGTGCTTTTTTCTTGAAATGGAAATGTAGAGAGAGTTGATGTGAGCGTACTGGATGGCTGTGAGTCTTGTATACATGTGGATGCAGAGTTGTCAACAGTTGATGGTTGTACTTGAGGACTTGTTCTGTAATGTGTCTTTGGTTTATTTTACTCTGCAGTACTTTATTCATCTGGCAACAAAGCATCATTGTTTGCTGCAGAATTCTCTTCATACCAGTGCATCTGAACTTGGTAGGATCCTTGCCCCTTGCAACTGCTCATATAACTTCTGCAGTGTTACTTGTTTATCTTGACGTTCTTTCTTATCCTCTTTTCTTCATCTGCCTCACTCTTATCTGCGAACTGAGCTTGTCCAGTAATACTTCTGCACTTGGTTCTTCTTCGCCTTCTTCAAACGACTTATTTACGTCATGTTCACGTACATCTTCAAAGCTCTCAGCTCTCACTGTCCTAGCCAGAGCCACAAGTTCCTGAGGGAAAAACCAGAGAAAATACTCACCACAGAAGGCCATAATTGATCCCAGCCCTCCTTTGTGGCTGACTGAGAGGCACTTCATCCAGGGCACCTTTACGTGCACCAGTAATGGAGAGAAATTGTATAAAATACCTTACTTAAATATTCGCCAGGAACGAAGTCCTGACACGGGTCTTTGCCAGATAGTGACCCGTCACCCTATAAAATACCGACACGATGGAAATAGAGACACAAATGCAGTGCCTCTATTTCCCTCGTGGTTATGCAACGTTAAATTTACCCCAGAACTCAGGCACGCCAGTCTTGGAGCTGTCGTCCATTGCTGCCATGATATTTTTTCATTACCTTGCGTGTGTAGTGGCACTTCAGTGTCCTGACAACTCCTCGATCCAGTGTAACCCTGTGCAGCTGTGGTGCCAATATTTCGAGCATTAGCCGGTTCTGTAACGATTTACTTCAGTTGGTATCAAAAATTTTCCCTAGAGATGCCAAATTTTTTGATGCATTTTATGAATCACGTTGAAAATAAATTAGTCAGCGTCATGACGCGCTATTATAGACATTGCTGAAAGCAATATGAATTTGGTCTTAATATATAAACATTCCAGTCAAGATTTATAGCTACAGCATTTATGTAAAATAATTATTTATAAATATTTTTTTGTTTTTCCACCAGGCCCGACATTCATTTCAGATTTGTAATTAACATCTCCCAGATATCTTAAGATTAATATCCCCCAATTATCTTAAGATCTGAGATTAATAACTCCCAGAAGTCTTAAGATTTGTGATTAACATCTCTCAGATATCCTGTGAATTGTGATTAACATCTTAATTCATGATAAAAATTTTGGGAAGTAAATATGACCACTGGAACAGCTGTCATCTTGTAAATTGCACTGGTGACAATGTAAATTACCTATAATAAATATGACTGGATGCAAGGCCCGTATTTTATATATATATTATATATATATATATATATATATATATATATATATATATATATATATATATATACACGTGTGTGTGTGTACAGGGAAGTACCGCCTCTATGGCTGGACTGGAGACCCTCATCCTCAGAGAAGACAATAAACGTACCTCAGGGAAAACTCAAGGTTCTCCCCGGAGCTGTTTGATATATATATATATATATATATATATATATATATATATATATATATATAATATATATATATATATATATATATATATATATATATATATATATATATATAAAGCCTGTGATTGTTTTACATGATGGTAGGATTGCTGA